ATCACTTAGCGTAAAATTTCTTCCTGGGGAAGAGCGCTAGAGCTCAGACTGAGTTGTCCTTGCTGGCACGAGGATAGGCTACACAAGGAAGCTGAAAGAACTGCTAGCCTGAGAGTCTCCAATTTTTTATGAATATTCTCCGCAAGGTGGGTCGAACGACCTCAGAAAAAAAGCAGACTTTGTCTTGCTTTGCTTTCAAATTGAACGCGTCGCCATTGTGCTGTCGACGTTTGCCTTCTTCACTGACCCTAGTATTACTGGGCGGCGGTTCCCAGCGCAAGGTTCCTTTCGTGTTTCACCAACATCTCAGAAGTGTCGAACTAGAGGAAGTTGGCTTTTGCTGTCAGAACTCCCGAATCGCTTGAGCTAGGCTACTGCTCCTGGTGGATTTGCTAGCACACTCCACCCAGTCACAACACTGGTGAATATGCAGGATGATCACTGAAAGGAACCTAGGAAATCAGAAGGAACATGATGATGTCAGATCGTGTTCGAGCTGATTCGGGCACAGAGCATGTGAGATACAAATTCCATATTTTAAATCTTTACGACTCTACAGAAATCCCTACATTCCATCATCTGAACAAGTCGGATATGCTCTGACACATAGCGACTACTTTGTCCAGATCCAATCTCAGCTGCGCTGGGTAGAGCAGCAAGATTGCCAGTAGAGGGGTAGTTGGAGTATGGGTCATCTTCAAATGGAAAAGCCAAATCCGGAACAGAGTGAACCGTGGATTGAAGGAGTGTGTCCTCGCCTATTTGCTGGTTGATCCACTACGTTGGTTGGCGTTTGAAAGATCCTAATCAGAAGTGATGAGAAGGAAGCTCAAAAATAGGTTTTAGAAAAATTGATGTTATAGCCACGTAAGGCAGCGTGTAAATGGGCTGACTAAATGCTCAGGTAGGATAATGTGGGTGCTACTTCGCAAAACATGTTTCACGCCTTTACCATTTTTCTTGGATTTTTTATAGCAATAAATGTAAAGTGATTCACTAATTATGGGACAACCTAATACTTCTTGCAAAACTCGTGAATGCCTTAGAGAATTCTTTTTCACTTACCGTGTTCACCGAGAACTTGGGCAATGCTTCGAATGACGCCCGATTTCATGAAGCTGTTCGCAGGGCATAATATAGATGGCTTAACAGCCGAAGATTGCTTGACATCATGGCAAGCATCAAGAATGACTGTTTTGTACTTTTCTCCTGAAATGAGAACGCCAAAGGACATGCCATCAAATTGGTTGAACGCTTATAATATCCTAATCACGCTGTCAAAGTCGACGGAAAACACTTCTTTGAGGTGCATTGCTCTCCTATGTTGGTATGAAGCACAATGAAAGTGTTTTGCGCAGGTGTGGAATTTTCAGCGACATCATAGTACTCAGGAATCCTTTATAACATTTTTGATGGCTCCAGTCCGTCTGTGCTATTCCTCGTTACAGCGTGCTTCTACTGAAGGGCACTTGGGGGTTCTCTTGTTCTCTTAGCTGGAGTATGTTATTTTCTATCATTACTTTTCTATTATTGTATTATCTTATCGGGATCAAGGGCAAAATTAGAGCGAAATAAAGGGAGAAAAGGGCTCACCCAGCCGCGGCGTCCAGCTGGGCGAGTTCGAAGAGAGGACTAGCAGTGACAAGCCCACAAAATACCTTTATACCTATAAATATCATCATACGGCACTTAAATTTTTTGAATGCGTTGAAGAATCAACGTCCTCATTTGCAAACACTGTAAAGTGAACAACTAAGTCGATAACAAGGGTTTACCACTCGTTCTACGCAGTATCTTGGTGCTCACTATCACCCATTTCACGCTGACATTAGGGAACGATAATGCTCACACTACATATGTTTGCAATACAGTATCAACGGCAATTTCGTGCTTGTATTTTTCTCGCGATGTGAACTCCTAGTGATATTAACAGCACGTGCTTGCGTCCTCCTCATCAGTGAGCTAGTCCGTGGAGCTGCTATACGGTAGATGGGTAAAAGCGACGGAGGCGATCTTCTAACATCTGCGCCCTCTCAAGGGAATAGCGTTAATATTAGGTCGGTCCATAATTTTTGAGAAACTTTACATGTATTGTGTAAAAATCTTTGATAAGTATTGAAGCTTTCCAAGATGTCCTGCAACCTAGCACACAAGCTCGCCTATCCGACAGGCTAGCCACCTCGTTTGCTTGTTACTTTCTTTAGCTAGGATTCCAATTTCTTTGAAACCTATTTCTGAGCCTCTTTCTTCATGACTTCAGATTAGATCTTCCACGCGCCAAGCTATATGAGGATTAACCAGAAGATAGTTGAGGGCACGCTCTCTCAATCCACGGTTACCTCTACTCAGGGTTCCCTCCTTTTATTCGAAGATGATCCACACTCCAACCACCCCGTGACTGGCAATCTCGATGCTCTATCCGGCGCCATTGAAAAGGAATCTGAACAAAGTTAGCGCTATTTGTCAGAGCGCTTTTGGTGTGACAGGGCAGAGTACTGAGACATCTCGATAAAGTCGCTAAGGTTTGAAAATATGGAGTTTGTCTCTCACATGCTCTGAGCCCGAATCAGCTCTAAACCCGATCTGACATCATCATGTTCCTATTGGTTTCCCATAGTTCCCTTCGAATGACCATCCATCATACTCATCGGTGATGTGGACTGGGTGCAGTGTGCTAACAAATCCACAAGCCGCAGTAGCTTAGCTTTAAAGGAATCTTGCGCGGAAAATTCTTGCACTCTTTCCTAACATGAATATGTCAGTTGTGATCACTGGAAATAGCACACAAAGTTTCACGCATGAAGATTCGGTTTCTGAAGAGAAACAAACGTACAAAAACTACACGTTATGGACCATCGAAGGACCAGGAGGCAGAGCCAGGCGAGGCATGGAAAGAAGACGGCGTTTGGCCGGCTACGTACCAGGCGACGCAATGAGAGAATCGGGTTAAAGCGCGCGATTTCGGAGAGTGAGACAAATCGATCGATGGAATAGGATGGAGTAGAAGTGTAAGATGTGAATGCAACGAAGCAGAAGGCCAGAAAGAGCTTCTAGTGAATGCACTCCAAGAACCAAGTTTGAGCATCCCCGTCGCCAGCATTCGTGAAAGACGTCCGTGGGCAATTCGAACGCGTAGCAGCCTTTTCGAGTTTTCGAATTTCTAATCAAAACGAAAGCAATACTTCAGTTCTTTTCACTATTATCGTGGATAATGAGTCTCAAGCCAGTGATTTATGGCTGAAATAGAATCATGATTTTTCCGCGCAAGATTCCTTTAACGATTCGGGAGTTTTGATTGCAAAATCCCACTCTCTCTGAATTCTACTTCCTGAGTTGTTGGCGGAATACGAGAGGGCTTTGCGCTGGGAACCGGCACCAACTAATACCAGTGTCAGTGATGAAGATAATCGTGACAGCTTGATGGCAACGCCTTCAACTTGAAAAGTGATACAAAATCGTCCAGGATCGACCTTCTTTTAATCTTGGCATATTTTGATCAGATGAGTACTTGATTGTAGCCGTCCAAGATTAGGTAACTTTATTAGGCCAACGTTTCGGCTTCTTCGCCTTCGTCAGAGCCTGAAAAAGTCAAGAACAAATATGACTTGCCCTCTCAAACGCCTCCACAATACTGAAGACTATTTCCATATCTTAGTAAACCACCTAACGGTATCGATCGATAAAGTTATGCTACTAGGCCTACCTTAATGAACGCCGCCGTGACGCGAGGGCGACTACCCTCGAAGGACTAGGTTGAGCTTAATTAAGCTCAATTAATTAAGCTTAAGCTTAGTTAACTGAGCATCACCACCTCGACCCTCTCGACCTCGACCTCGACCTCGACCTCATGTAGATCAAAACCCGCAGAGGTCGGAGAAGGGCGCGAGCCCGCGCCAATATCACCGAAACACCTCCCCTCGTGCAGTGTAATTGTTTTTACAATTTTTACAAATTACACCTTAGAAACTACCGTGAATTTACAGGCATTCGTTTTTAGTGGTGGCGCAATCTGGCCAGTTGGCGGCACCTTGTCACGACAAGTGTTTTCACCAAATCTCCCTTAAACTTCCGTATAGGGGTTATTTGGTGTCCTGATTACGAATATGACCCGTTAGCCTGGTACTATTTGGCGCCTATTTTCTGATCGTTTGCGTTCTCCAACCGAGAGGATATGGTAGATATGCGTTGAACAACACTGATGGAAAACCTCGACGAAGAATATCATCCACTCATTAAACACCTTAACGAGAGTGACAGAAAGGCAGAGAAATTGAAAGTTACCGAGGAACTTCTGTCAACGGAAAATTCTTAGCTGGAGCCGCACGAGCTGCAGGCAATCACCGACTCACGTCCGAGCTTGCGAAGCTATGCAGAGAGGCGATAAAGGAAGATCTCAAGGAGCGAAGAGCAGCAGTATTAGCTGAAGCAGCAGAGGATGGGAATGCCGCAATGCCCGCCGAAGTTACAATGAAGAATGCGCCGCCAGTTCATCATCAAAACTCTGGCTCGACTCTTCACGCGCTACCTGTCGGAATGCAAGGTACCCACTCCGTGGAAAACCAGCAGGACCGTGTTGCTGTACAAGAAGGGAGACTTGGACGACATTGGCAACTATCGCCCAATCTGCCTGCTGTCTGTAATCTACAAGCTATTCACTCGAGTCATCCTTAACAGGATCGGCAGAATACTGGATGAAGGACAGCCATGCGAGCAAGCAGGGTTTCGAAGAGGGTTCAGCACGATCGACCATATCCACACGGTTACAAGACTCATTGAAGTTTCACGAGAGTACAAGATGCCGCTTTGTCTCACGTTCATCGACTTGAAGAAGGCCTTCGACTCTGTGGAGACAGAAGCGGTCATCAAAGTCTTGGTCAAGAGATTGGAGTGAAATTCGACGGATCGCCAACTACTCCACCTTCGTTCTTATAACGCCGAACATCGAGCAAGCGGAGCGAATGCTGGCTGATTTCGACTGCGCCTGTGGTAAGGTTGGTCTACAGCTGAACCTAACGAAGACGATGTTTATGAGAAACGGATTGGTTCCTGATGCCCCATTCACGCTCAACGGAACGAACATCACCGAATGCTCCAGCTACGTGTACCTAGGTCGGGAAATCAATATGATGAACGATCTAGCTCCAGAGCTGAGCAGGAGGAAACGAGCGGCTTGGGGAGCGTTTAAGAACATCGAGGGAGTAGTGAAGAAGACGAAGAACATCCGGCTCCGTGCCCACCTCTTCGATTCCGCTGTCCTTCCTGCCCTAACCTACGCCTCAGAGACTCTGCGCAGGCAGGACGAGCATGCGGTCAGCGTTATCCAACGCGCTGTCGAGAGGACGATGCTAGGAGTAACCCTATACACGCAAGTGCAGAGGGGAATCCGGAGTTCGGAACTACGCCAACGATCGAAGATCAGGGACGCTGCCGTTTTCGCCAAGGAATCGAAGATAAGGTGGGCCGGACACGTCATGCGATTTTGCGATGACCGTTGGACCAGAGCGGTTACCGACTGGATCCCTCGGGACTTCTTCAACAAAGCTCTGAACGAAAGGAATGAAGGACATCGTGTCCCTCGAGCGAGGAGGGTCCACTGGACAACTCTTGCACGCGACAGGGACGAATGGAGACGTTGCTGGCGCCCGCTCGAGCTGATCAACGGGAAAAGACCTGATTAGGTTAACAACAGTTTTTGGTTAGTGGTGACAACGAGTAAGTTACAGCGACACTGCTGTCTCCGTTGCTGATCACTTTAGGACCCCTCTCCTCGTCAAGGATTCTGTAGACAGCTGTTCACCCTGGTAAGGAGTCTGTGAAAGCAGAATAGGCGGGAGGACTACTGCAACTCCCAACTACTGTACGATCCAGTTTTTTGTTAGCTTTACGTCCTACTTCTATTCGATTATGCAAGGTTGCAGCACACAAATCACTAGTGTACGCGTTCTAGTCATTCCTTTGTTTGATTCTGATGCCTCAACCAGCTTCTTCACTGTTAACTTGAATGTTGACGGAAATTTTTGAATGGCTTTGCAGCACGAGAACCTTTTGTTCTCAGCAGTCGTTTTGAGAGGACTCGCTGTCAGGTTGTCGCAAAAAACCTGCCGAACTCAAGCTACTATAAGCATTAAATCCCACGAGGTTGTGAGCAATTCTGTTGGGCCATATACATCGCTTTTTGATGTACTTTTCATTTTCAACGTTTTGCCGCGAACTTTACGGAAATCTATTAAAAGT